CTTTCCTATAATTTGCAAATTTCAACTTAGGCTTAATGAAGTATTGATACTTGTTAGTAGCTTGTGTAAATAACAGATAACTATAATCATGATTTGAACAATCGATTAACTCTGAGCTCAGCCTAAACACCTCACTTAAAGTTATCAATCACTTTAAATCTTGAGATGGATAAAACACGTTTTCAATTCCGTTTATTTTCAGGCCAAATAGGAAATGTTCAGTGTTATAAGTTTGTAGTTTTAGATGGAAAATTAGCAATAGTATGTTCACAAGACATTGCTATTGAATAAACAAGGTAAAACGGATTTCATAGCGTTTGGTTTCTAATTTAATAATGACTTTAATGATTAATAACAATGACAAGATTACTAAGACATACCCACACTATGGGTTGGCTTAGAACTATGAAAGCTCTCTCAATATTACCGAGTTTCTATATGTGCAAGTTTTAACATAAGAATGCAAAATGTGTAGTTGTTTTTGGAGAACTGGACGTGGGCAAACTCTTAAGTGTAGTGCGCGTGTATCAATAAATCTAAAACGGCTTAAGTTCTGGTTTACACGTGTTGGCAACAGTTGTAAGGATTACACTGTACTCACGAAGGCCGTTTCCGCGTTTCAGATAAAATACATAAGAAGGAAATACCAATTTAGCTTTACCATTTCCTGTCTTAAAATTGCGCGGGAGGCGACAGGAAATCAGATCGAAGATGAGCTTTTTACATATTCTGAAAGGAGGTCTGTTTACAAAATACTCCTTGTCATAAGTGGCCATTAAGGCTATGATTAATCATTTGTGTATTCTTTTAAATGAAATCGACAAATGTATGTTCAGTCTTCATTAAATTGCCCATAAGTTGCACGATCGAGTTGGTAGTTTGAGATATAAGGGTACATTGTCGTGAAAATTCCATCAGATTTAAGAGGATAAAGTAGATTGTATGTGCAGCCAGTAGGTCAATCAAGATAAACTTTTCTAACGCGGAGAACATTCTCAGCCCTTTCAGGGTCGATTTCCAATATCAATTGGGTTTTTTTTTGTCTTTGCCAGACGATAATAATTTTGAGTACACACGGGTCGAGGAACAAAGGGATACTGATTTGTCTAGTGATGCCTCATTTTTGGACTAATAACTTTTCAAATCTAATCTAAAGCAAGGGTGGAAAAATTAAAGAGGAAGAATTCATATTTCCAACTTAGAATTAAATCAGTTGCACACTTTCACTTGTTGAAGAGATCAGTTTCCTTTAGAATGAAATTGAACAACCTTTTCAGTTCGCTATCGCATTGTAGTGTCATTTTTTCAATTTCTAATATTTTTCTTCCTTCTGTGATCTGACCGCGTAGGTGGAAGTTAATAATCTGTTATTTGATTGTTATCATGTGACCAGGCACTTAAAATTAAAACCTATTATAAATAGATATTGGATTTTTCAGTATAATCAGCTTTTTTGCTACTTATCATCTGTCGCAGTTGAGGGCCTCCATTCTCTTATTAAAAGGCAAAATAATTGCATCATATATAGAAAAGCTCATTTTAGTTAGCCAGAAGTACTTTACATTTTCCTTCTTTTCTGAAAACGTTTTATCATTTATTTTGCATATTTAAGTTATCTTTCGAACAATATCTTTATCTATTGGCCTTATCCCAGTTTTGAACGATTCTTGGGGCACAGGTTTCTATTTAATCTTTTAAACAACCTTATCTGTCCATAATCCCCGCTTCCATACTGCCCGATAAGGCTTTCTTGACGGGCGTCTGTATTTACACAATATCGGAACACAATTCCTCTAGCTCTAAGACAGCGGCGTTTTTGATTAGGTCAGCTGCACTTTTTCAAACTTGATCAAAGATTCTGGAACATTGTTTTTTTTTCCCTCGCTTTCGTCAAGTCTTTGACCGCGGGCAGATACCCCAAATTATTTACCGACAGTGCCAAAAAAAAAATCCGATATCATGAACATAGAAATGCAAGCGCAGCTGATCGAATTTCCAATAAAAAGAAAAAAATATATACAAAAAAAAAAAATAAACGCAACGGCAGCTGACTATTGATAATTGAGTGCTTTCATCAGTCTAGTTGTAAGGTTTGGAACATATTCAAGAATTCGCTGTTCGCTTAGATGTCATATAAACAGTTAATGAAATCATTCTCGATACAATTAACACTACACAAGATATTGCGTATTATTTTAACGATGCTTTTTTCTGCTATTAAGAGAGGAGTCGTCAACAATTAGGAACTTTATTTTACTGTTTTCCTAGTCATGATATTTTCTTCTCGCAAAGAGTAGTTGGGAGCCTGTGCACGCATTAAATGAGCTTCGTCACGATTTGCGCATCTTGAAACATTTAGCCTAAATTTTTTTAGTTCGTCGTTTGCAATCCGTGTTAATCTTCTCCATCCTTGACCATCCTTGTTCCTTTATGGTTCATTATTATCTTTTTGGTGTTTTTTGCTATCTTAGTAAACTACTATTTTCAGGTTTCCTTCAATTTAAAGGTTATTTTGTACGTAGCCAAAATAACTAAAAATAAGGTGACTGAGCTCCTTTAACACTTTACAATGCGAGCAACATGGCCACTCGAGTTTTCATGTACGCTTAAAAGGATCCATTTCATTACAGGTGCTGTTTATGTTAGGGATCACCGTTTCATTCGTCCGGGGATTCGATGAAGGTGAGAAGTTTACGACTTGTGTAATCCTTAATTTTCTGCTAATTTAGGAAGTTAATATGCATGCGCTCGCTAATTGGTGATCATTAGTACAGAGTCTGTTTGTCTGTACAGTTGACCCGGGCATGCTATTTTAGGAGACACAAAATGGCACGAGACCTAAAAATGTTGATTCAAAAATAACAATGACAATAAATGGGCTAAAAATATTTATCAGGAACCCTAAAAAGACTGAAAACATACTAAACGGCAGACACGAGACGACGACGACGATGTCGATTATGATGGAATCATATTCCGCATGGTATCATATCTGTATTAATCTCAGTTTGAGCAGTCTTCCACGAGTAGTTATTTGATTGTGAGGCCTCCTGGAAGCAATGCCCACTGAAATATATGTGTCCTTTACACAGCTTAAAGTCCTCGGACATCTATAATGTCGAAATACTTGATGCTCAGACTCTGAGCGACCTGCAATCAGGATTAAAAGAGCAATATATTAGCTGAAGATTAGCCGTTTTAATAGCTCCGGGTATTGCTTTTACAGGACTTGAACAATTAAAAAATCCCCCGGTAATAATTGAGTTAAAAAACGAACTCGCTCTTGTATGAAAAGCTGAAGAATTTCTGTTGACCCTTGACGCCCATTATGAGGAGCTTACAGTTGAGTGTTCCGTTATTCGTCGAGAGGGCGTTTGCAGCCATTGAAAAGAAATTGGGTAGTCCAAGGCAAAAAAAAAACCCTCATAAACTTAATTGGTTTCATCTCCGCACTTAAGGTAAACTTTTCACCGCTACCAAACATTAAAGGAATGGCCAACTCACTGCTGAATGTTCGACTGACGACCGATAGACTGACTGACCGAATGTATGGGACCAAGTAAACTCTTTCTCGCTTTAGATATCATTTTACTAACCCCAGTGCGGTTTTTGTAGTGTTCCACGTGGTCATTTTGGATTATGTTCTACGGAAGCAATAACAGTTCAAACACATGCCTAAATGAATAGCCCGATAGTATTTAATTGTCGAGACAAAGCTAAAATAAAATCTTCAGTAAATTTTAGACAGGAATAATTCGGCCTGCCGTAACGATTATAACGAAGAAAAATGCCAAACGCGAAGCGAGTAATTCTTTCTGTTGTTGAGACAAATCTCTAAACAATGTTTCTTTAACCTTACAACGAACTTAAGATGAGAACTTAAGCCATTTATTTAGCTTCCGAGTAAGAGTAGGACGTCAGAAACCTTTAAACGCCAAAGATTCCTGAGTGAAATAATTTGGATGAGAAGACTATCACCCGCATGTGCAAAATAATCAGGAATAATTTTTTCCTTAAAGTCAAAATCCAACATCTAACACTGTGATGAACTCACTAAGTTGCAATATATCCAGTTAATTCGATTTTTTCGCAGCGGTTACCGCTTTACGGATCACGTACAGAGCTCCCAGTTCCAACACAACTGAAAAAGCGCGGGAAATATGCACGCGTGGCTTGGCATTACATGACGTTTCGTCTACTCATCACAGACCGTACTTATTCCTTGTTGACCTCATACACAGTTAACATCAGGCACAAGTCCGCAATCATTATTTCATCTCCCTTTTAGACTCAATTTCTGACAGAAAGCATAAAAATCACTCGTCAGTTTTTATGGTAAACAATATAGTTTTGTTTTTCCCACGGCTCAGTCCACCACGCCTGACCACCTTGACTAAATTGGCTTGTGAGAAGCCAACTCGACGAAAGATGCAACCGGCGTGTTCAGTTACTCTAAAGGGCCGAAGAATGTTGACCGAGCCGAATTTGTGCGTGTTTCAACTTTTTCGTTTGAGGGTATTTTCTGTATTCTGTCAGTGTTCTGTGGTCGGTCAATTTAAAGCGTTTGCTTGCATTTAGAAGTCAAATGCAATCTGAAATATAAATAGTTGAAATTTCCCACACCCCAAAATGTTTTCACGAGAGTCTGTCATGTGTGGAGAGATGATTTGGGCAGTTTGTAGATTGATTGTCAAATCGTCCAAATGATCGGGAAGATATTTGTAACGACCGGCACGCAATGTCTTTTTTCAGATTTGAAATTTTTTTTTTTACCTCACTCAATTAATTTACCGTTTTTTAGAAAATAAAGTTGCTGTTTCCACCAACATGTTGTCAATTAAGCGATATCAACAAGACAAGAAAAATTCCCAAACGATTAAACTGGCATTAATACCCTCTAGACAAGTTTGTAAACATATTTGCAACACCAGATTGATAGGTGAACGAGATAATAGATTTCCGAAGTATTGCTTTGCAAATATTTTCTATCAAAACCTTTATCTTTATGGCACGTATGTCGTCGATAATTCACGATTAGAGAAAACGTCATAGAGTATTTATGTAAACGACTTTTTGAGAGGTATTTAGCAAAACCGCATCCACTAACGAAACACGAGAAGTGTTTTTAGGTTATTATAAACGACCTCTCAATAACTCGCACAATTCCCTGTGGAATGAAGCAAGCGCCAATTATGATGCTTATGTAAGACCACGTAAAGTTCTTGCTAAGTTGATTTGGAGGTTGTACGTTGTATTGAAGAAGTGCAGACATGGTTCCATTGCCCTCGGCCTCATTCTCCCAATACGAGTGGATCATATAACAGACCCAGCTGATAAAGCGATGAGATAGTTCACGCTAAGACATTTGAAAGCACACTCAGTGAAAGATTAAGACGGCTTTGTTTACTGCTCAGTTGGTGGGAGAAGACCTGTTAACAACAAACGACGTACGACAACGAAATGCGTTGGGTAGGTGAACGAATTTTGTAGCTTTACCTGTGTTGTATGACTTGGAACCATCACAAGTCGCGCCCTGTTCTGTGGGGAAGGGAAAAATAGGTTCGTTTACCGTCGTCACGAAGTATCGTTCGCTCTAAGTTCCAAAAAAAAATGCTCCTTGAGCGTTTTTTTAGTCCAATTCATGCTCGAGATCAAACGTTTGTAATCCTCTTGTTCATGTTTGTTCACTTCATTCTCATAGAGTGAAACGAATTTCTACTCTGCCAGCGTTCGATTCCCTGGGGTATCACATTCTTACTAAATCTTAAACTAACGTTTCCTAGCGTGAAATCATGTCATTTGGAGGCACAGGCAGGTATTCGAAATATTTTCTCATCTGATGGTAAGCTTAAGAGCTTTATGACTGTTTTCATAGCACTACAACCAACTCATGCCTCAATGGGAAGTTTACCTGAAGAAGTATATAATCTACATGATAAACAAGTCATTAAAACATGCCTGACCCCACCAGTTATGTGGCCAATGGCTGATTGATATCTTTAACGCAAACTCACCTCCTTGTTTTATGATGTTTTAACTAAGAGCAAAAGCAGAACAGGCTCGGAATATGAGAATTTGATGAACATATAGTGAAGCAGCTGTCCTGTGTTGTATATTTTTAGTTGCTGTCTCGTTCTGTGACAAAATACCAGAAAATATTAACTACGTACTTGGTATGTGGCGGTCTGCAATCGAGATAATCAGACCAATTATGGCCGGTACGGAGTACAAAGTTATTGTTATTTTTTTAAAATCGCGACATACTTCCTAGGATAAACAAATACAGATTTTTACAAACTAATCAAGTCAAAATAAATGACATGTGTCTGTCTAGAATTATGTTACAAAGGAAACACTTCTAAAGATGCAATCTAAAGACCCAATTCCCGGGACAGTGGATCTTCACATAGACATGTTATTTTTGCCAATTTATAGGCAGACTTTATTTTGCTAAAAGCGATTGGCAAACGATAAATTATTCTGTAGTCGCGACGTTTGAGGCCAAACAACCTTTGTTGTTGATTGATTTGGACTAATTTAATAAGATGGAAACTGTACTGTTATCGACATTTTTGCAACCGATAAATTAGCAACCGTTGCATGCATGACAAAAAACGCAGCGAGATGTGAACATATATGCTTTCCTATAATTTGCAAATTTCAACTTAGGCTTAATGAAGTATTGATACTTGTTAGTAGCTTGTGTAAATAACAGATAACTATAATCATGATTTGAACAATCGATTAACTCTGAGCTCAGCCTAAACACCTCACTTAAAGTTATCAATCACTTTAAATCTTGAGATGGATAAAACACGTTTTCAATTCCGTTTATTTTCAGGCCAAATAGGAAATGTTCAGTGTTATAAGTTTGTAGTTTTAGATGGAAAATTAGCAATAGTATGTTCACAAGACATTGCTATTGAATAAACAAGGTAAAACGGATTTCATAGCGTTTGGTTTCTAATTTAATAATGACTTTAATGATTAATAACAATGACAAGATTACTAAGACATACCCACACTATGGGTTGGCTTAGAACTATGAAAGCTCTCTCAATATTACCGAGTTTCTATATGTGCAAGTTTTAACATAAGAATGCAAAATGTGTAGTTGTTTTTGGAGAACTGGACGTGGGCAAACTCTTAAGTGTAGTGCGCGTGTATCAATAAATCTAAAACGGCTTAAGTTCTGGTTTACACGTGTTGGCAACAGTTGTAAGGATTACACTGTACTCACGAAGGCCGTTTCCGCGTTTCAGATAAAATACATAAGAAGGAAATACCAATTTAGCTTTACCATTTCCTGTCTTAAAATTGCGCGGGAGGCGACAGGAAATCAGATCGAAGATGAGCTTTTTACATATTCTGAAAGGAGGTCTGTTTACAAAATACTCCTTGTCATAAGTGGCCATTAAGGCTATGATTAATCATTTGTGTATTCTTTTAAATGAAATCGACAAATGTATGTTCAGTCTTCATTAAATTGCCCATAAGTTGCACGATCGAGTTGGTAGTTTGAGATATAAGGGTACATTGTCGTGAAAATTCCATCAGATTTAAGAGGATAAAGTAGATTGTATGTGCAGCCAGTAGGTCAATCAAGATAAACTTTTCTAACGCGGAGAACATTCTCAGCCCTTTCAGGGTCGATTTCCAATATCAATTGGGTTTTTTTTTGTCTTTGCCAGACGATAATAATTTTGAGTACACACGGGTCGAGGAACAAAGGGATACTGATTTGTCTAGTGATGCCTCATTTTTGGACTAATAACTTTTCAAATCTAATCTAAAGCAAGGGTGGAAAAATTAAAGAGGAAGAATTCATATTTCCAACTTAGAATTAAATCAGTTGCACACTTTCACTTGTTGAAGAGATCAGTTTCCTTTAGAATGAAATTGAACAACCTTTTCAGTTCGCTATCGCATTGTAGTGTCATTTTTTCAATTTCTAATATTTTTCTTCCTTCTGTGATCTGACCGCGTAGGTGGAAGTTAATAATCTGTTATTTGATTGTTATCATGTGACCAGGCACTTAAAATTAAAACCTATTATAAATAGATATTGGATTTTTCAGTATAATCAGCTTTTTTGCTACTTATCATCTGTCGCAGTTGAGGGCCTCCATTCTCTTATTAAAAGGCAAAATAATTGCATCATATATAGAAAAGCTCATTTTAGTTAGCCAGAAGTACTTTACATTTTCCTTCTTTTCTGAAAACGTTTTATCATTTATTTTGCATATTTAAGTTATCTTTCGAACAATATCTTTATCTATTGGCCTTATCCCAGTTTTGAACGATTCTTGGGGCACAGGTTTCTATTTAATCTTTTAAACAACCTTATCTGTCCATAATCCCCGCTTCCATACTGCCCGATAAGGCTTTCTTGACGGGCGTCTGTATTTACACAATATCGGAACACAATTCCTCTAGCTCTAAGACAGCGGCGTTTTTGATTAGGTCAGCTGCACTTTTTCAAACTTGATCAAAGATTCTGGAACATTGTTTTTTTTTCCCTCGCTTTCGTCAAGTCTTTGACCGCGGGCAGATACCCCAAATTATTTACCGACAGTGCCAAAAAAAAAATCCGATATCATGAACATAGAAATGCAAGCGCAGCTGATCGAATTTCCAATAAAAAGAAAAAAATATATACAAAAAAAAAAAATAAACGCAACGGCAGCTGACTATTGATAATTGAGTGCTTTCATCAGTCTAGTTGTAAGGTTTGGAACATATTCAAGAATTCGCTGTTCGCTTAGATGTCATATAAACAGTTAATGAAATCATTCTCGATACAATTAACACTACACAAGATATTGCGTATTATTTTAACGATGCTTTTTTCTGCTATTAAGAGAGGAGTCGTCAACAATTAGGAACTTTATTTTACTGTTTTCCTAGTCATGATATTTTCTTCTCGCAAAGAGTAGTTGGGAGCCTGTGCACGCATTAAATGAGCTTCGTCACGATTTGCGCATCTTGAAACATTTAGCCTAAATTTTTTTAGTTCGTCGTTTGCAATCCGTGTTAATCTTCTCCATCCTTGACCATCCTTGTTCCTTTATGGTTCATTATTATCTTTTTGGTGTTTTTTGCTATCTTAGTAAACTACTATTTTCAGGTTTCCTTCAATTTAAAGGTTATTTTGTACGTAGCCAAAATAACTAAAAATAAGGTGACTGAGCTCCTTTAACACTTTACAATGCGAGCAACATGGCCACTCGAGTTTTCATGTACGCTTAAAAGGATCCATTTCATTACAGGTGCTGTTTATGTTAGGGATCACCGTTTCATTCGTCCGGGGATTCGATGAAGGTGAGAAGTTTACGACTTGTGTAATCCTTAATTTTCTGCTAATTTAGGAAGTTAATATGCATGCGCTCGCTAATTGGTGATCATTAGTACAGAGTCTGTTTGTCTGTACAGTTGACCCGGGCATGCTATTTTAGGAGACACAAAATGGCACGAGACCTAAAAATGTTGATTCAAAAATAACAATGACAATAAATGGGCTAAAAATATTTATCAGGAACCCTAAAAAGACTGAAAACATACTAAACGGCAGACACGATCAATTCTTTCATCCAGTTTAAAACGGTTTGCAAAGCATTTACGAAGTCTACAGTGTTAAGAAATTTTCTCTTCTTTTAATTTCCTGAGAGTTTTTGTGTTCGAAGTTAGTTTGGAACTCGAAGTTAAATACGAAAGGAAAGAATGCAATTGCTGAAAATAGCATGATTCCGTCTTCTTCCCGGAGAGCGTAGCTTGAAAACATTTCACCAATTTTTGTTCAAGTTCCTTGTTCCAAAAATCCGTCTAAATCTTCCCCACTCAAAACCAACTTTGTATCATTTTGATTAAATCTATGGAGCTGTCGATATTTCCATCATGTCAACAGGCTTTTTTTGGAATTTTATTATTTCGTCTTACTGCCCGCCGATTTGTTTTAAAACCACTCTTGGGTGCAAATGGGTCATGTATTTGGACTTACTAACTTACAAGTACAAACCCGAGAGAGATGCAATCCATTTTTTTTTTTATCCCTACTTGAGATCTCATCTCAGAACTGCAACTCCTCTGAAAAGCTTTCTTGAGGTATATCGAGTAAATATAACAACTACTCTTTTCCGGTTAATAAACAATTATTGGATGAGGTTTTTGTGATATCCGGAATAATCAAGGTCGAGGTAAGTGTTATCAGCCGAAGCCGAAGGCTGAGGCTGATAACCCTAACCGATACCTTGATTATTTCGGATATCACAAAAACCGAATCTAATAATTGCTTTATTATACATTGTTTTAAAGAAAATAATGACAAACGCATTATCGCACCGAACGCAGTTTATTATCACAAGCCATGTTCTTACTTCGCTGTCCGTGAGCTCGATATTGCTCTTGGAAATCCTTTCATTGCGCGCGCAACCTACAGATTATCCACTAATCTGCTAGCAGATTAGTGATTAACCTGTAGGTTGCGCTGTTTCCCAGAATTATTTGTAGACTTTTAGCCAATTTGAAGACATATGGACGATAAAGACGATGATGTAGGAATTTCTATGGACATGCTCCTTTTCCTTGACACTGCACCTCACGAACAAGTCACGCTAAGGACAATCGTCACGTGGATATGCACTTAATTTATAATTGCTCAGAGATGGTTATATGATTACTGACCGACACATCAATGGTTGATTTATCCTTAGCAACAGTTTCTAGCAAGAGAACTTGCGAGTCAGTTGTAAAGGACTTGGTTCAACATCCTCCCCTCCACGTCGCCATAAAGCACTGCTGTAACTACTCCACAGTGACATATGAGTGTATCAATGGCTACCAACTTGGTCAGGGAGACAGATTTAGGCGCTGTTTAGAAGGCAAACTGCTTGGGAAAGAGCCTAGCTGTAGATTTCCAAAAGGTAGGGAACACTGAAAGCGAAACGGCTTATTTGCCACGTCCCGTTTTCCATTCCCCCTCAAGGCATTTTTCAAATTTGACAGTTGAGCTGCATGTACGCAAGAATAATTCCCTGAATGATCTTCACACTGTATTTTGTCAGCTGGTCAGCCAACAAGAGAGACAATCCTTCACTGGTGACTACCAGTCTACCGTCCTTTGCTATCAAACAATTCTCCTTAGGAACCTTACAAAGCATTTTTTAGAGTCCCTCACATACCTTAAGACTACTAAGTGTAAAACGTTAAGTAACTATGTATGTAATGTTTCTTCTTGAATTTCCCATCATTAGCATGAATAACAATGATATTTGCTCGAAATAGTTTAGAAAGGCAAACACCAAAAATCAACACAAAACAAAACGAAACGAAAGTGCTGGAACAACAATAAACCCCTCTTTGTAGAGCGACACGTTCGGCTGTACCGCAGACTCGAGGTGATGAGAAAATCCTCAACTAGTTGAGGATTTTCTCATCACCTCGAGCCTGCGGTACAGGATTGCGAATTGATGATTTGGATGTACTTCCTTACGTTCTTTTTTGTCGAACTCAACATCATATAAAACAATGAAGGTCACTTTTCACCCAATTCTTGGCTTCTTTAATAATTCTTGTTGCTAGTTACGAGCTGTGGTAACCCAGGAACAATCCGCCGTGGATACTTCATCGGATCTGATTTCAGTATTGGTCGCACCGTGGAATATAAATGCGCCCGCGGTTACAAACTGCATGGTCCAGCGATTAGTGTATGCAAGAAGCATGGAACATGGACTGCTCGGCCGGCGTGTGTAGGTATGTTACTGAGCTGTTATAGTCAGCTCTGGAATGACGGCTTGCATATTACGGCGGGAAAGTGAACCTAGAGGGTTCACTAAACTGATTAGCTGCTAAACTGATTAGGGAAGTCTTCGCATTGAACCTTATGGAGACAAAAAAGGAAAAAGGTTTCGAAAAAAAAAGGAAAATGGAACAGTATTTTTACAAAGCTATTTTATTCCACCTCGTTTGCACTTTCCCGCTCATAAAAACGTAAACAAGAGTTTCAAACCATACTTTCAAAATTATATATTTAGTTGTCGTTTTGTTGAAAGAGCTATGCTTGAGAGTAACTACTGGAGTTGTCTATAGCTCTTCAGCCCCTTCAAGTATGCGAAAATGAGAGGAGCTCTGAGTGTGACAATGTTTCGATAATGTTGTAAAGGTAAAGGTAAACTTTATTTAGCCAGGGTGGCCCATTCAGCGACGACGCTGATATCCAGTCGAAACTACTGTCTAAGAGACGGAAATGTTTTGTAAAACAACTTTTGATTTTTTTCTTCAGATAAGAATGTCATGGATGTAAACGAAGCCACCGCATTTGTTCGCTACAGTCTGTTAGATAGTCATGCTGAACATCCATGCTACAAGAATGGCTCCTGTTCCAAGGTTGATTCCAGAACGCGTCGCTCAATTGATCTAGATTTTGACGGAGGCCTAGATGTGATCTTCTTGATAGATGGATCTAATGGGGTCTCCAAGGATGATTACAAGATTGGGCTCAAGTTTGCTCAAGAACTCATCCGAGTTCTAGCCGCCACTGTCCTGTGAGTATTTGAATTATACATTAACGATATGATTATAATAATATGTCGAAATATCCTTGCATTTTGTTTGATTCTTATGATCTATCGCAGGAAAAACGCATAGGTGACGTCATTAAAGATGGTTTTTCTTTCTTTATTAAATAAAACAAGTGGATTCCATGTTGCCGTGCGTCTGTTCAGTAAAAGATCGCAGAGGACGTCAAAATGTGTAAATGTGGTAATAACATATTTGTTCCTACCACATTTACCACATTACCACATAGCAAGGCATTTTCTCACCACATTAACATATTTGTTCATTACCACTTTTTTGTTCTTGCCACATTTTGACGTCATCTGTGATCTATTATTGAAGAGACGCACGGCAATATGGTATCTTTTTGTTAAAGAGAGCACAGTCGCGGCTTCTTTATTTGTTAAATGTTTTATAAGAAATATCGAGGATAAAATTTGCGAAATTTTAAGAATATTTCAAGAATAAACCCGTGGCTGAGATTTTGAAAAGAACATAATTTTGTTTTAAAAAATTGTGTTAAAAATTTGTAAATGATGTCTAGGGTTAAAAAAAAAAAAAAATGAATAAACTGGGAGATGAGCCAAAACACAAAATCCTTGCTTCAGCTTTCTTCAGGCGAAGTCAGAGTCGTGGACGGACTCATAGACTCGTAGTTCTAGTCCCGGTCAGGTGCAAACACATTTTAAGCCTCCTCTAGAGGCTGATTGTTACTGGCACACAAGCATAAGCAACATACGCGGACGCGCTAAGTTGCTGTTAAGTGGGGCCTTTTGTTAGGGAATTTTCTTAACGCTAATCATGAACCTCTTACTACTTCTACGTATGTTACCTGAGCTTTTGCTTAAACTCATGTGCTTGACACAGCACTTTAGCGAACACTTCTCTATGTCCCAAGTATGTCCGCCTACGCAGGGCCTGACTGTCAAGACTACAAAAATTCCCTAGAAAAGTTGGATTCTGTAGAATAGTGTGGATTACCAAACAGAAAATACTCAAACGGATTGTATACTGCCAAATTTATGTTCTTTCCTGTCGTCAATAATTAAGCGTACGCTAATTTCTATTGCAACATGATTAATGGGACCAATGGATGCTGTCCGTTTGTTCCGCCAAAGTTCATCATGTTTCATAGTATACGTGCCTTTTCTTTTCCTATACTGATGACACAATTGTAAACCCAAACATGCACAACATGTAAAAGCATGCACTGACTAATTTTTTGTTATTTCTTTCTCACAGGCGAGGGGACATTCGTGTAGCGGTTGTCTCTTACAGTAGCAAACCGTTCACCGCCATGAATTTTGCATCTCCTTCAGACAAGGTCATAAAAAAGATTGGCGCTATCAAGAAACCAGGGGGGTGTGGTACTTCGCTGGGAAGGGCCATGTACATGACAAGACGCCGTATAGTGCCGAACACTAGAACTAACAGCAACAAGGCCATGTTCATAATAAGCACTGGACTCCTGAACATGGGAACGAGTCACCCTAAGGCGTCACGTTTATTGGAGAGCGAGAAGTCGTTTCAGATATTTTCCATTGCTATTGGAAAGAACCCCAATACACGAGTTTTGTCGTCTGTTGTCTCACAGCCGGTCAAGAGCCATCTTATATTTCTGAGGTATTATGGTGACGTGTTTGATGCTGTGCGTCGCACCGTGACGTTGAAGAAAAAAGGTGAGATACCTGGTAAAGACAAACGTTCCACACGGTGCATACAGTGGAACCCCGTTAATCCGGTCACCAACGGGCCACAAAAATCTGGCTGAATTAATGGGATGGCCGTATTAAAGAGGTTCTTTGAATACGAAAATGACTGACTAAGCTTTTGTTCAGGCCAGAATGAAGGGGCGTAATAACGAGGTGGCTGCATAAACGGAGTGGCCGTAAAGCGGGCTCCAGGGCCGTAGCCAAAAATAAATTATGACTGAGACGATGTCCATGGTTAAATTTTTTTTCCTAGGTATTTCGAGTGTTTAGATGAGGATAATGACGTACAACGAAAACGAAGAAGTAATTGAGGCAGGTTCCTCGGTTTGCTTGTTACAAGCTTCGGCCCTGGGTTTCGCTGTATTCAAACAGCGATATTCGCGGTAGACGTAGACTTGTGATCTTGTGATTTGAAGATGATGAAAAATTCTGATACAAAAAATATACATATGCAGTGAATCAATGCCCTCTCTGGTGTTTCGGTGTTAAACGAAATTGGAAAAAAAAATTATTCCACCTAATTCTCTTCGACACGCCATGTAACCTCTCCCAGGCGTTCTTTTAGTTGGCAAACAGCACGAAGGACTGCTAGTGGAAATGAAAAGAGAGGGGTTTGGATTCAGGGGGTGAAAAAAGGAATTTCATCGCGTCGTTTTCAACGATCACCGTTCTTCGCGCTGCTTTTCATGGCTGGAACAGGCCACATGGAGAAATTGCCGTCTTTTATTGATAGAAAACAGTCTGCTTTGACCGCTTTGCTTTGTGATGTAGCTGTTTTAAGTTTCATTCATAGTCAATTATCGCATGACCTTGGTTAGGATATAGTGCATTTACAAGTAACTCATTTGTACACTTATAAAGTTCAACTACTGACACTCGGACAACAAGAAGCTTTCTTTTGTGTTTTTTCAGATCCCAGTGAATGCGGTGTCAGTGTCACTAAACCAAGAGCGCGAAATGTACGCGGCAACAAGGCGACAAGTGGTGTATGGCCCTGGCAAATTCATGTCTTCTGGGACGGTAAGCCAGGGCGTGCACTTCCAAAGCCTCTGTTTAAAACTGGCTGACTATTTTTTCATTTTTTTTTTGTTATATTCTCTGTGGTTCATTAATAATTTTTATTTGTTTCTGTTAGGAGTTCCCGTCTGCAACGGAGCTCTTATTAATAAGGAATGGGTCATCACTGCCGCACATTGCTTTTACTCTAAAACATGGAGACCCATCGTTCGCCCAGCCTCCAGGTAATTCCATTAGCATCCATTTCCACTTATCAACAAGTGAGGTTAACGCGCGTCTTCAACAAACTAGGGGGAGTGGGGAATTTTTGCCCATATATGTTTTTATGGCGTCAGGTTACAATATTTGTCAGATTAATTCATCAAAGAAATGGAAACTGGCCTCTTAATCAATCTTCTATCATATACTTTTTCTAGGTTTGGGTTTCTGGTTTGAGAGAATGGCCAATCTGCCTGTTGTGATCTTAGGCAAGACATTTTGTTCCCACAATACCTCTCTTCACCCGTTATATAAATGCATTATTTTAGCATCCCATTCAGGGGGTGAGGGTGGGGGTAGGGTAGAAATATTTCAAGTCTTTCCATGCCACGGAAACCAATTTAGACTATATTTTTTTCATCCAATGGAGTCGCCATTCTCTCTTTAGATACACTGTAAAAGCCGGAGGCCATCATCTGGGTGACAGGAAAACCAGCCCGGAACAAATCATTGAAGCAACCAAGATTTTCATCCACGACAACTACAAACGCCAAAGCCACGAAAATGACATCGCGCTCATAAAACTAAATCGAAAGGTCAAACTTGGAAAGTACGTAAGTCCTGTATGCTTGCCGGATGTTGCAATGCCTGGAAATGATTTAGCCACGCCTGGAAAACATGGTTTTGTGGCGGGGTGGGGAGCAAAGCAAACCCAAGTAAAACAAGAGAGGAAATCTTCCAAAAAGCACCGCAAGAAAAGCCGAACAAAAGTGACTGTTCATATTGCGTTGGCGGTATCGTCCAATAAAGTTTGCAGAAATAACACCAGCCAGGCATTTAACAGCACCGTTATGTTTTGCGCCGAACATGACAAGGCTGGACAGCATTCATGTCGCGGTGACGGTGGGGGACCATTTGTGCGTGAGCGATATGATTCAAAGTCCCGAGGCTATCGCTGGACTGTGGCGGGATTAGTGAGCTGGGGCGAGGGATGCGGGGTGGAAGGTCGTTACAGTTTTTTTACTCGTGTGGCGCCCTATTCTAACTGGATATCAGAAAAGACTAACCCCCCGAAAAGAAAAGGAAGAAATTTGCGAAGAAACAATGGAAAGCGGAACGGGTCTGAATGAAAACTGCACTTCTGCTCCTTCGCGTGAGGAGACAAAGAACGGTGAAAACGTCAAGAGAAAGATTTTAGAAACGCGAAGACTACGCATGAGGTTTAGGTGTCGTTTCAACAATGTAAAATATACTGTTTGGAAGTGTAAAACATACAACTAACTTTTTTTTCACAAGTCACATCACACGCCATTGAAAACCGATAAAAACTGGAGAACAAAATATGGACTCGTACATATATTAACTTTACAAGATCGACATATTGAAGACTAAATAAAGTTATTTACTCTCAACTGTGCGGAGATAAATCTGATCAATGTTGAAAAAAAATAAAAATAAAACAAACACGGGATAGACTTGACTTAACATGAACTTGAAGTTCTATAGAGGCAAGTGAACCACCGTAGCGCGAGAGAACTAGCCGCTTTTTTCGTGGAATATTTTAACAGAGCAGCATTTTTCGTAGAGTGAATCCACTAAAACTGAAGTGACTCCAGGATTTCCGTGCTCATCGTGATGTGCGCATGCCCAGGGATCATTCTGATGTTTAGACCCATTTCTTGCGCACAGTCTGTATAAAAATTCCAAGTGTGCTAAACTGAATTGTCTGTGTCAAAAAGATTAAACTCAGAAGTTTAGGATTACACATATTTCAAGATGATCATTTCTTTAGTGTCGGCGGTTTCGTTTTCCAAGCTATTGGAAACTTTAAGAGCTTTAAACATCTCCTAGGTGGTCTTGTTCTTAATTCGGATGGCACTTTGTTCTTAGGTGATTACAAATTAGAAGGGTGATTATCAATCAGTTGACGCGTCCATGCAGATGTCTTTTTGGGCTTTCGACAATCATTTCCACGACCCAAAGGTCTTTTGCATAAGAAACTAAAACCGAAATTATATTTAAGAAAGAGAAATGGTATCAAAACCAAGAGCGACCAAATAAAGTGATTTCTCTTTGCGAACTGGGTACTGCATGTGTAACCTCTTGCAACTGGCAGCATATCGGAGCCCATCTACATGTATGCAACAAAACTACCGATGCAGCTCTGTAGTACCTTACAATTGACTGCCAAAGAGTTACAGTTCATGAAAGTGAGCGTCGCGCCTTTAATTTCAATTAGTACAGTATCGAACAGTAGGTCGTGTCGTTGATCGAAAGTCAACAGTGTCGTGAGCTCCCAGTTCCTAATTAGGAAGGCTGCATTGCCTGAAACGCCTTACTTCTTGCATTCCTTGTAGTTGTTGTCTGTTGTTTATCGATCCCCCATGAGTACTTGAATTGAGTACTCATGTGTGGTCGTGTACCTATTTAACCGTCCACCTCCCAGAAGAGACCTCCTTGGTTCACCATCATGGGTGGTCACTTTCGGGAGGTGCAGCTGAATCTTGTAAATCACGAAATCGTTTAAAATTTTAAACTACTTCTCTTGAAACACAAAGCAGTTATGATACCACACAACAACATTTCGTGTTAGACAAGGTCACGATATCCCCAACATCAAAATCCCTATTGGAGCGACTTGGTTTTATTTTGATTTGCCGAAAACCAAATAAGCCTTTGGTCGTGATCCCAATATGAAAAAATAAAAAAAATAGGCGCCCGAAGTGTGTGCCATTTTTTTCCCTCCCCAGACCGCTCGCGTTTACTTAGTGTATTTTTTATACGTTAGCCTAAACATGGCAGAGGCATGTCTCTCGCGTGTAGCAAGTACAAAGCAAAGAAATAAGTCTACTACTGTAATTTTTGTATTCCCTCAATACCTTGTAAGAAGTGAAAGTGCCCCGTACTAAAGCCATTGTAAAAGACGTTAATTTGGTGAACTAATTAAAAAGACAGAAAATGTCAGTAACACATTCGTCAAAGTATTTCCTTCAGCTAATTTTGTGTCTGGGAAATAACGCAGAAACAATCATTACATTAACGCCTTTACGTGCCCACAAAGCTTTTCGTTCACCTCTTGCGCGCTTAGGAAGGAAACGGCGACTACGCAGGCTACATAGCGACCATTACTCAATATACTGTTTCAAAAAGTGGAAGATGGAAATCCTTTTGGATTTTTATCATTACAAGACACCTTGGAATTATTATGTTTTCAGTAGTTAGCCTGGTGCTAACTCTAAGCTAAGGGCTATCTTTGCTTAACAACTATATGTAATAAAAAAAAGAAATTTGTTTGAACCCGCATGTCGAAATAAAAGAGTTAGGGTGATGAACGCAGAAACAATCATTACATTAACGCCTTTACGTGCCCACAAAGCAAAAAATAAAAGAGTTAGAAATAAATAAAAGAGTTAGGGTTGTAAATCCGCTGGTTACAGATAACGTCAAATGTCATGAGCTTTCATCTCAAATGCCTCGAACGAATTTTGAAGACGGTCTATTATCCTTCTTCTTTTGTTTAGAAAGTTATCCCCGTCTTGAACAAATTTGATGTCATCTTCCAGGGAACGCTTTACACCACGAATTCTAACCTCAGCTGTTTCTTTCAAATCGCTTAGTCCATCAACTGCCACTTCTTCGCATTTTTCCTGTAATGAAACAAACAACAAAATAAACTAAATGAACGACAGTGGAAGCATTTTTTTGAGATTGGTTAAGTCGCTTCAACATTTTCAAGGAAAGTAGATCTGGTCAGTAGAATTTCCGGGGGAAATCTCAGATAGATGGCAACTACGGTGGCCCAGAATTCTCATAGGAAAGAAGTGATATGCATAATCTTTGACAGAAAACTAGATGACATAAAATACGGATAACAAAGAAGTGGCAAAAAAGAAAAACACTGAACGGTAAAGAGAACAAAAGAAAACTAAAATGGCTATAACATAGAAACAAAATAAAAATGGAACTAAAATAAAGTTAAATTGACAATCTGCTCAAGTGTTCTCATTTCAGCTTTCTGCTGCAGCTCGACGTTGTGAAAAGCGCATATCGGCTGCAAACCTCATGGTTTATGGGGATTACTTAAGACTAGCGTAAGACGGCAATTATACAACTAATATCCTCCTAAACTGGACCCTCACTACGGTCCATTATTCTCATAGCCCAAGCTACATACCAGAGTACGGCTGAGAACACCCACCCTTATCTCCAACCTGAGAGAATTATATTTAATTTGCATTTTTTCCAAACAAGCCTTGCAACACTTACCTCATGCAATCCCTTGACTTTGGCGACAAAGAACTCCTGAACTGCATTAACTTCAGCGTCACTCGTGGGCCAAATGTACCTCAACCACTCACACAAATCAGTCGACGGTACCAAACTGTTCAATACTGGGCCACCAATTGC